AATCTGTGCCAGTTGCTTGCTTACTGATATATTTAATTAAGCATTAAAAGCTGTTTTCGTGAAGAAATTTTTATCGGTTAGCGTGACAAGTTGTGGAAACACTGTTTTACCCTTTCTTATTTCTCTTCATTTTATTTTAAAAAAAAAAAGCATTTAACGGACTTAGGAATTTAATACGAGTATTGTAAATAAAATATCAGCACAAAAAGTATTTAAAGATTTTTATACCGTTTCCATTGAGTTGGCAAAAATATTTGCAAGAAGAAAATTTTTTAATGTATGCCCACGCATGGAGTATCTGCGGTGCTGCATTGGTCGATTTTGCGCGTGAAAAGGTTTTGCATTTCGCAGTAAAGTTCGTACGATGGCTCGAGTGCTCGAGTGCTCCTCTTATGGATTTCTTGTAAATTGCTTGCGTGCAACTCATGCAACTGTCGCTTCGATTTTGTTTAAAGTTCAAGATAAACTGCATGTTTCCACATATAAATCATTGCCATTAGCAGGGAATGTTTTGCGTAACCACGGGAAGCTGTAAACGACTACATATGCCTTACAACGTTTTGTAGTTGCCCTAAATGGTCCGCTTGTTTAGGAGGAGCCATTTCTGTGGTTTGTTCTCCTTTTTTCTTGGAGTTTGGAAACTAGTTTTTGTACTGTATTGTATTGCTTTTAATGATCGGAATTTGGTGATTTGCTTTATTTGGTTTCGCACTTTGTGCTTCAAGGGATTCTGAAGAAGTTTACAAGAGCTTGACGTGAAGTACTTTTCCTAACAAAGCAATTTAAATGTTTTTATGTTATCTCTCTTTCAAAATCAGTATTAGATGTACTTAGAATTAAATTGTAAAGCCTTGTAAACACAAAAATAAAAAGATATTTAGAAAAATTTCAATTTATCTAGTGAATTAAAATGTAAAAATTATTTTATATGTTAAAATGTAAAAATTAATATTGTTAAAAGTTAAATCACTGTAAAACCAAATTCTTCTTAATACATTTGATAAATACCTTAATATTACTACAAAAGAACAATTGACAATGAGAGATTTCCCAAATATTACACTTTGGATCTACATGGCGATTGTGCATCTAATTTTTACTTATGCAAAAGTAGTTTAGTAGCCGTTTTAGAAGCGCTTATAACACAAATTTGACATTTGACATTGTTGGTAAATGTACTATTCATTGGTCATCATATATAAAATATAGATTGCACTGTCAGACTGAAAACAATAGACGGCTGAACTAAATGTGCATTTGGAAATAGCAGAATTCTATTAAAAAATTTGCTTGAAAATAACTTGGAACACAGTTCCAAGCTGTGCATATTATTGTTATCGAATAATTTAAGTCTATGCTTATGCTTTAAAAGTTACCTTCAAGTTATATATCCTTCAAAAAGAAAAACGGAAATTAACAGACTTTGAAGCGTCATTTGATATACCAATTCTCACAAAAGGCTCAAAAATGAACTGGCTTAACCTACCTGGCTTAATACTGTATCCTTAATCTACTTTATCTACTCATCCATTGTTTTTTATGATAAAGTTCAGCCCATATCAATTAACTGTAAGTCTATTATTTGCAAATTTTACCATTTGTACTGACAGGCAATTACTTCACTCCAAATCTCCAACATGAAATCGAAACTAGTTGAAGAGGGAAGAGCTTCAAGTGACTAGCTTAAATGACTAGTGACACCGACTTGCTTGGCCTGCCTTGGCATTTGTTTGAATTATTCCCTATAAATACATAGGTTCTTATACACAGCAATAGCACTCTATGTTACCCTGGCAATCATTAACATAAATAATTACCTCTATTTTTTTTAACTTGCTAATAATAAGTGAAAAACATTTACGTCATGAGTAACTTCCCGATCAATCTACACTACATAACAAGACTATTTACTGGAAACCAAATAACAGGACCGAGTTATTACCGCAAGACTTACTGCAGTTCAATAAGACCACATTCTCGGTTTAATTGTTTTTGTAAGGCAACCAGTTTTTAGGTACCACTAAACATATATATCAGAAATTAAAACCATATGAGAATGTTAAATATGTTAGCCTTAGGGTAGACCTCGTCTAGACAATTGGTGGAATTATCGAGTTCGTTAGACGAAATGTTGAAGATAATATGAGATATCGTTTAAAGAAGAATTATAACTTGTAACCTTATAAACAGCTCTTGCTTGATAACCTGGTATAGAATATTGCCAAACGTCATATATCCAATAGACAAATGTATAGAATTTTTGGATATTAGTCATGATAGCCAGACACAAATTTAAGAGACTTGTGAATGAATTTATGAGGTCACTGCAGAGCAATCCCTCGAGATTTCTTATCATTAGTATTAACAAACAATAAAATTATATTTTTTTTAGGATAACAGTATTACAGACCACACAGCATTTTAAAACAATAAAGCTATTGTGGCAGTATTTTCCAATTATGTCATCTTAAAAGCTTCTGAGATCATCTGTACAAGATCTTTTTGGATGATCTTAGACTCTTTACTCTTTTTTTAGAAAGCTTCATAAATGAGATGGTGTAAATCAACAAACCTTTAATTTTAAGATGAGTGATAGTAAAGATTCGATTAAAACTGCGCTAATTATTTCAGGCCATAATGCCGTAATTTATGTAAATTCTCAAGAAAAAACCAACAGATTATGAATTCTAATGGAGGACACTTAACATTTCATAACTTTGTGCAGAAACTAATAAATATATAATTTGAAGGTAAACTTGTTGTTCACCTCATATATGTACATTTCATTCTCATAAATATCATAAGAGATATGTTACTAAATTTGTTTATTTTAATTTATATGTTGCAAAAACACTTGTAAAAACAATATTTATAGTTTTATTACCAATAAAAATCAAATAATCGTCTAATAATATTTACACAATAAATCAATATCTAACAATTGAAGCTTCAAGATAAATAATAAAATAAATTCTTTCAAAAATTCATGACTGCACGACAATAAAAAAATATTGAAAACAATGCTAGTTTAGTAAGTAATACTTTATTTTAAAAAAATCTATTTACATTGATTTTAAACGCAAAATATTTTAAAACTTTAGAACATTCCTTGAATTAAGGAAATAATCATAATCAGGAAGTATGTTATGCTCATTATAAACAACTGATATACCTTGTGTACGAACATGACTGCATTGAGTTGGGTGTTGTTTAATTGCAAACATATTTTAATCCTAAATATGAATAATAATGAATAATAACACCCACAAGCTCGAAAGTTTATGAAAAAAATTTAATTACATAACATATATATTGAACTAGAAAATCCATAATTGAACTTTTCCATCAAAATAACTATGTTTCAAGATATTCAGTATATAGAAGCACCAAATAGAGTCAAATTCAGAAATATTATTAAGGCCCTATGCCCCACTGGGGGAATTGGACAATAGTAGTAGTATATTCTGTATTAATATACTTTCAAAAGCGCCATAAGAGGGGCCAGGTTAGAGGCGATTCTTTCAGTTAAGAAATCCAAACCACCTTTTGGAAAAAGTTACATGTTCTCCCGAGAATTTAAAAAGTTCAAAAAGAAGAAATAAATAATTATTTTACTATGATTGAACAATTAAAGAAGTCGGATTTTGGACAACATATAGTATAGTCCAATTTCTATAACTCGAAGTATCATTTTTAAAAGGAAACGTTCAACTTATGGAGACTTCGAGTTAAAGTATTTTTTTGTAAATGTATGTAATTATGCAAAATACATAAGATAAACTGAAAATTGCAAAGAGAGGTTTAAAGAGGTTTCGAAAAGTAGTGCACTACAACAATAATTTTTTTGTATTATTTTAATTAATTGAATTTCTGACTGACCATACAGCTGTTTCGAGTATTGCCAAATATTCATCATCAGCGTTTTAGAAAATAAGTATTTCCTAGAAATTGTAAGTATAAGTATTCGTAAATAAATTTTTGAGACTGCAAGTACCAGAGATTCAACTCGTGCCCTGCCAAATTTGAAAAACAGAGTCAGCGCTCCTTAACCAACTGATCGAAAGCTATACTTGACTTGTATTTTCGCACATTTTTCTGGAGTTTTGTTAATTTGCTGTGAAAACTTATAAACAAATTCACTTGCTGTGTTGTATTATAACAAAATCATAAACCAGCTGTAGAATAATTGAATTAATTAATTTCTTTTTAATTGTTAAATTTCAATACCATTCTGTTTTTATTTTATCAATAAAAATTTAGCTTATAAATAATAAAGAAATTTGAAATTTTATGATTTTTTAAATCCGGGAAACTTAATTGTTAATGCAAAAGAAAATATTTTTTGCTCTCATTCTTCACTGTGTTTATCCAATACAAACGAAAGATTGTAGTAGCTTTTGTCCATACGTACATCTTCCTATGCAAGTAGTAGAAAAATATTATCTTTGGTTGACTACTCAAATACAGGTGCCAGTATCTTTTTCTAAATATATAAATTTAATAATAACAACAACAAAACAGTAGGAAAACTTGAGTTTACATTTTTCTGTTACTTTAACAGCAAAAGCTCTTGTTAACAGCAATTTAAAATAGACCACTTTGAGAGTGCCAATGTAACAGCGACATGTGCACATTGCTTACAAACAACCTGTGCATGCGAATGACTTCAACAATGACGTCATTGTGATGCTGTTAGTAAAGACATTTGCACATTACCAACACTTTACGTTATACAATAAAAATTTTTGAAACTAACATTGACCCACATTTTAAAATGCAACAAAAAAATTTTAAAAAAAATTTAGAAAAAAATGTAGAAAAGTAGTATTTGCCTTTTCAAGTAAAATAATTTAAATTTGTAAATGTAAATAATTATAAAATATTTATGAAACTTTAATTTTTTTAAATTTATTGCTTATACATTTTACAAAATTTTATGGTCAAAAATTAGTCAAAATACAATATATTTTATAGTATTTTGTTTTAAAATTATTTTGTGCGAATTTGTTTTTATTGTTTTCAATCAAAGTCTCTACGTATGTAAATATAATATATATATAATAATTTAAATAAAAATTAAATTCCCATTCAAATTTCATATTAGAGAAAAGTTGGTATTATGGATACGAAACTATTTTACTTCTGCTCTAAAGTACCTAAAGTTATGCTCATTTCTATGGGCCTGCAACGGAAACCTGACACCGCTTTTGACAAATGTCTGAGAGGCTTAAATTTTCTATTTAAAAAGTAAATTCAAAATATTAACTAAAAGTACAGATATTAGTAATAAATTTAAAATTAGTTTTATACATTACTTTAGTTGGGTCGGTTATCTGGTGTGCATTTTCTCAATTCTGTTGTCCATTTTCTACTTCTATATGGAGATGCAAGTAAATCAACGTATGCTAATGTTACAGGAAGTAAACAACAACTTGTCAAGGTATGTATATATAATATTAATTTTATAACTCTGGAAATATATTTTTATATTAATTTATTAAAGAACTCCGAAAAAGCGGCGACTCGGTGCAATTTATCGCCAACATGAGGTAGTGCGTCATGTAATACAAAATGTCAACCAACATATACGTAATCGGGAAACACAAGTGAGGATAATTGCTTACAGTACTGATGTCGATAATACTACACGTTCGCCTTGATACTGTGATTGATTAGGATGTCATAGATAACTAAAGCTACATTTGTAAGACATATCTGCGTAGTCTACAAGATTAAATGAAGAATATTAACTTTGATGCAGTTAAATAACATCAAAATCTTATTTATGCAATAATTCACACAACGGTAATAAAAAACTTAAATTTAATAATTTGTTTATTTAATAAAATGTATGAATAGTAATAAATTTGTTACCTATATCAAGATTTTACCCACAATATTTTTTAATATTTCTCAAGTATAAAGCCACACGAAATCATTTGAATTCCTATCGAAATAAACTTCTAGGTAATAATACTTACATATAATATATAACACATATATAACAAATAAATCAAATAAAACCACCACTGTCGTGTTTATTCAACAACATAGTCCCCTTCAATAGTGAAACAATCATTCCAACGCTTCTCAAACTTTTCGTTACTTATATTATGGAATCATTCATCTTTGGCCTTAAAACAGCTTTAACTCTTACAATAATTTTTTCATCAGAACCAAATCTCTTTCCTTAAAGTATTTTTTTGAACTCAGCAAATATGTACAAATCACTGGTGGCCAAATCTGGTAAATACGGTGGGTGCGAAACAATTCAAAGTGTAATTTTATACAATTTGACCTACGCTTTGTGACACGGTGTCTTGTCGCGGTAAAAATTTGAAAGAAGATTCTCATCAAAAAGGTGTGAAAGTCGATTTGATGCCATATAACTCATAATTATGATTAAAAGAATGGTCACATTAGAATCAATCATATCCATTGATAAAGGCAAGTATCTAGCCAATTTTAATGTTGAAAACGTTGCCGAGTACTCTCAAGAATAAGGCGCCTACTAGCTTAAACCTGGTTCTAAACAAGCCTTGACATAAACAGACAGATGGTCCGATGCTTGCTCTTCGAACTCTGGCAGACATGTTTTACAGGAGATTTGACAGAATAAATTGACTTTCATATGTGGCTAGCTAGAAAAGAAAAGTTCCCTGCTATATAGAAATGTCCAGAAACTACAACTTAGTGCGTTAATACATCTTTATTTTTAAGCTATGTTGAACGAAGTGCAGTCTGCTGAAATAGGTTTATTGACTTCCTGACTATTAGAGAGAATAAAGACTTCGGCGAAAGTTCATGCTTGTAGTAAAAAAACCAGGCTCTCAGGATGAGATAAAGTCGCAAAGGTGTTGGCATTTCCCTAAGTCTACGAAGTAGATTCTGGTTGTTGTAGCTTTATCCATCTTTAATACATCAGTGTAAATTGTTAAGTGCTTTTGTGTTTTAATGAGCCCTGCATTCCATCTTTTAATATAATTATATTAAAAAATTAGTGTCTAAAACAATAGATTTTTATATGAAATACTAATTTTCTATTTTATTGGCAAATAGTTTTCTTGTCATAGAATATGAACCAGGCAGATTTTTCTTTAAAAATGAAAATATTTAAATAAACTACAATTTATGTCTGCTCTGCTATTATTAATAAATGTGTCAAGCCAGCTACAGATATTTTTACAATAATAACGACACGCCTAACAGTATGCAATAATTTCTTGCAAACGTACTGCAAAGAAAAAATTACTCATACGTTACAAAATAATAAGAACAACACTGTCTTGTTACCTTCAACGTCAAAACCAAATTCCATTTTTATAGAATCTTTTTGTTATTTGCATTTAAAAGCTCACTGTGCTTAGCACAAATAACTGCTATTAAAATAGTTGTTGCAACAACATTAAAACAGGTAGCAGAAGGCATAAACATAAACAAAAGCCATGTGCTGCTGCTAAATGCACAAGGACTACAGCAAACTTGAGCAAACATAAACAAACAAACTTTGGTATGAGTGAGTACGAGTGAGAGGAATATATACTAGAGGAAACACTTCGCCTATGCATCTAACAGAGCTTTACACACTGATTTTGTTGACAAAAGCAAAGCGCAAACGCCTGTTTACATTTTTGCAAGTAAACATGAAGGTAAAGCACATGGCAGTGCTTCAAGAGAGCGAACTGGCATTGTGTGGAAAGCTTTTCAATTTACTTTAATGCTTTACGGACAGTTTTAAAGTTTTGCAAGGGGCTGCGCCTACTTAGTTGATGTTTAGAGCTAAAGCGGTTAAGTTGGGTAAAAAAGGTATATAGCGGCACGGCAGCGGTTTTGAATGGTAGAGAAATTTTCAGTGAAAATTTTTTTATAATGAATTTATAATGTGTATACGATATTTGTGAAAAAATATTAATAACTCAATTTATTAAAAAAATTGTTAGTTCAAAAATAAAATGAAATTAATTTGCTAAAATTGGTATTGAAAAGTAACAACACCCAGCAAAAAATGAGCATCTTTTTGAAGAAAAACAAAGCAGCAAAAAAAAAAAATATATCTCAAAAAAAGCAACAAAGCGAGCAAATGTCCCGGACAAGCAACTCGACAAGATAAAAGCATGAAAATGTTTACTTGCCAAAGGATTTGTGCACGTGAATTATGTGAAGTGATTTTAGGCTGAAAAAAACAAGATAACAATTTGTTAGAATTTATTATTGGATTTCTTTGTGTGATTTCTATTAATTTGAAATTTATACATTTTTTATATAATTACACTTTTTTATTGCCTATGATAAATGCCTTTGACTGCAAAAGTGAAACCTACACTAGGCTAAGCTCTACGCACGTGCATACATTTTCAAGGCAAATATCAGCAAATTTCCCAGGACTCGAAACAATGCAATTCAGGTGCAGATGAATTAAGGATTTTTAATAATTAATGTGTGTACTTTAAAATGTGTTCAACTGGTTCGCAAAATAACTCAACCAAGTATATTTGGAATTATTAAAATAATTTCCATTTATGGAAAAAAAAGAAATTTTTTCCATTTAATTAATATTTTAAGGACAAAAGTAAGGAAAAGATATTATAAAAATCTTGAAAAATATATGTCGTACATACAATATAACAGGCCAAGGTTCAAAAAAATCACCTCCAAGACATCGTCAATAAGAACTATTTAAAATAATTGCCATATAAACATTCAGTACATATACATTTCTACTAAGCATATAAAAAAATTAGAGTTCCAAATGTTTGTTTATTTTAATGTTCTTATTTAAATATATAGTTAACTATATATTATATTTTAATAATATTGATAATTAATTTTACTATATAAATTTGACGCAGATAAATTAATAAGTAATATAAATTTAAAAACAAATTTTTATTTAATTTTTAATTTCCATATAATGAAACGTGGCAAACCTTAAATATTCATATAAAATTTTCTTAAAAATTTAGCAAAATGTATTACAAACAAAATTAGGTTACGAATATTTATGCTAATTTTATTTAAAAATAATAACATTAGATATATCTCAAAACGATCTTTGTTTTTTTGTGGGAAAAAGCTATATTGCTTTATGCCGCATCAAAAACACCTTTGTAAGAATAGTGTGCCCGACTCTCTAACATATGAATATGTAGTATACGTACTAAAACATCCCCTCTTAGGAAAGACTTGAAACTCCCCGGACCCGCTTTTGATTTACTTTGGGGATATGGTCATTTCAGACCTTCACTTTATCATCACATTTTTCGATAACTGCGCTATTTATTAGACTAGTTTCTGCTTCTCCTTCTTCTTCGTCAATTCTCGGAATAAATTAGTCCAATCCGTACTTGTATCACTTGTACAGAAAAATCTGGTGTACTCAACGTTATCACAATCTTCTCAACGTTGTCATAAACGCAATCGGGTAGATTCACTTTTATATTGACGTGGTATTAATTTATCGTTTGTATGCAAGCAAAAGATTTCTGAAAAACCATAGACTAAATTATAAGTTTTTGTGATTCTTTATAGGCTGAATATTTTATGGTCACCTAACAGATTTATGCAAATCTTCATCAATAATAGTATTAGTAGCAATAAGAGCAGAATTATATAAAATAAAAATTATAAAATTGATTTATTATAAATCTTTGATGTTATTTCAAACTGCAATGCTCTTTGAGAACTTAAAAAGTTAATAACAGTGACCTTTAACATGAGGTTTTCTACAGAAATGATCAAACATTTTTCAAAAAAATCAACTTTTAAACCCATTCAAGTCCAAGACATGCTAGTCGTCAAATTGAAGAACATTTAAAGGAGAAGTTAAAGAGTAATACAATCATTCCAACGCATTGTATAAAGAGACTATAGTCAGCGAACATAAATTTATTAAATAAAAACTATTTTACCAATAGTTAGTCGGAGTTCGTGAATACTAGAGTTATTCTAGTATTGTTGTTCTAGTATCTTTTTCACCGACCTCAACACTTTTACTTATTTTTTCATCCACTTTGTAGAAAATATTTGTTATTTAGGTTATGTTCTCTAGATCATAACTAGATATTTCATGGGTGTCTGTAACAAAAGCTTGGATACACAGTATACAATGTTGTGACTATTTGGTTTGAAAAGCATGGAGTATCTTCTGTTCAATTAAAATTCATTAGCAGCAGAAATGATAAACCATGGACGAAGTGCTTATCTCGTCGCGACGCTGTAACCCTTATATAATATTCTATTTTATACACAATATATATATTTGGCAAGGTTTCATTCATTTCAGTTCTAGCACTCTGTTGTCTGCGCAAATTTATTATTATGTAATATTTCTCATAATTAACACTTGACGCCAATCTCATCTTGTGGGTACTTACTATTAAGCGATAGTTTCCCATCAGTAAATCAAACATTACTCTGTGAGAGCTAATACAAAATGTTTGAGGTTCTATTCAGAGCGTTGTACGTAGTATTAGTTACATATCAGATGTTCAACTTTTGCCGTCTTACCGTTTGTAGACATTTACATAGCTAAACCACTTATGTGGTTTCACAATATATTTAGTACTATTATTCTGTCTCTAGTAAATCAATTCATTATATCTGAGTAAATTTCTTTAAAAAGTGCTGTAGATTAATAATTGTCTTTTTGGTGTCCTAAATACTATTGCCTTTATTGTAGCTTAAACACTAAAGCCGTAGATTCATAGACTAAATCATATTTCCTTTATTGAAGCCTAAGTGCTAAAGTCTTTACCGTACCCTTAATCTCAATACAGAAATACATTAAGTTCATTGCATTCACGCAATTAAC